CCCCCACAAAAAATGCCGAATGTTTTCTCTGATATAAGGAGACTGAATCATAGTGAGGTAGGGAGGGGAAGCATAGGAGGAATAGAGGAACTCTAGAAAGGGCAGAGGGGTAGGAGGGAAAGGGAGAGGGCAGTGTGTTAGCAAGGATGGTGAAATGTGATAGACATCATTATCCAAAGTACATGTATGAAGACACAAATTGGTGTCAACCTACTTTATATACAACCAGAGATATGAAAAATTGTGGTATATATGTGTGATAATAATTGCAATACATTCCACTGTCATTTACTTTTTTAAAAAAATCAATAAAAAATTTTAAAAAAAGAACTCAAAAAGCTGAACAACAATGAAACAATTAGCCCAATCAGTAAATTGGCCAATGAACTGAACAGACAGCTCTCAGAAGATGATATACAATCAATCAACAAATATATGAAGAAATGTTCAATATGTCTAGCAATTAGAGAAATGCAAATGAAAACTACTCTAAGATTTCATCTCACTTCAGTCAGAATGGCAGATATTAAGAACACAAAGAACAATAAGTGTTGGCGAGGATGTGGGGAAAAAGTCACACTCATACATTGCTGGTGGGACTACAAATTGGTGCAGCCAATATGGAAAGCAGTATGGAGATTCCTTGGAAAACTGGGAATGGAACCACCATTTGACCCAGCTATTCCTCTTCTCAGTCTATACCCAAAGGACTTAAAAACAGCATTCTACAGGGACACAGCCACATCAATGTTAATAGCAGCTCAATTAACAATAGCTAAACTGTGGAAACAACCTAGATGCTCTTTAATAGATGAATGAATAAAGAAAATGTGATATGTATGTATATATATATATATATACACATATATATACGTAGATATACATATATATATATATATCACATTTATATATATATATACATACATACACACACAATACATACAAACAATGGAATATTACTCGGCAATAAAAGAGAGTAAAATCATGGCATTTTCAGGAAAATGGATGAAGCTGGAGAATATAACTGTAAGTGAAGTAAGCCAATCCCAAAAAACCAAATGCTGAATGTTTTCTCTGATATAAGAAGGTTGTTTCCTAGAGGGGTTGGGAGGGGGAGTATGGGAGAACTAGACAAACTCTAGATAGGGCAAAGGGGTGGAAGGGAAAGAGAGGGAGCATGGGGGTAAAAAAGATGGCGGAATGAGATAGATATTGTTACCATATATATGTATGAATATATGAATGGTGTGAATATACTTTATATTCAACCAGAGATATGAAAAATTGTTCTCTATATGTGTAATATGAATTGTAATGCATTCTGCTCTCATATACAACAAATTAGAATAAAAAATAAATTTTTAAAAAAGTAATGTGTGAGTCATGTTCAAGAAATGTGGCATTACTCAAAAGTTATGAGGTGTGTCTATAGATCTATACAAACCTTTCTGTATTTCCAGAAATTTAAAAATACCAAAATTGACTAAAGATAGATAAAATTTAATCCATTTCACAAACAAATAAATGTGAAGTTAAAAATATTTAGGAAATGGATAAGCATTATTAACTAGGAACAAAGTGGATTGACAGTGCACTTCCCAACAAGAGGAAGTGAAGCTGTGAGATAAGACCTACATCTCAAAATTACTAGGAGGAAGTTATTTTACTCATCTCCATAATAATAATAATACAATGCAGGGTTGTAATTGAAGTGTTCTAAGGTTCATGTAATGTTTGGAAGAAAGGTGAAAATATTTCTGCTTTGTTAAATGAGGTGTGAGCTTTAAAAGTTAAAGGTTACCACAAAAAATAGAAAAATATCACAAACATATCATGCATAGAAATAGTTGTATAAATGAAAAGGATAAAATGAAATGATCAATAAGTTTAGATATACCAATGGCTAAAACAGATGTTAATGATCTCAACTGCTAGTTAAAGATGGAGATTCTGACATTCTCCTCCCTCTTCTAGCCCAGATTACATCACCCTCACTGAATCACTTTATCCTGTCACAAACAGCACTGCCTTGTTCTACAAGTGCCACTGTAGAACTGGTCAGTTTCAAGAGTCCTCTGCTGCCCTGGTTTCAATAAACAAATCTAATTTCCTAAGAACTTTTGCAGCTTGTAAAAGCAAGCAAAAATATGTGTGTATGTATGTGTGTGTATATATATATATATATATATATATATATATATATATATATATATATATATATATATTTTAAAAGGAGGGGAGAGGTAGGTAGGTAGGGAGGATAGTAGGATGAATCGGACATTATTACCCTATGTGCATATATAATTACATGACCTGTGTAACTCTACATCATGTACAACCAGAAGAATGAGAAGTTACACTCCACTTATGTCTGATGTGTCGAAATGCATTCTACTCTCATGTATAACAAATGTGAACAAATTTTAATTAGCTTCAACTAGAATGTCTTGTCTTCATTTTAACACTGAGCATCTCAATTTCAAGGACTCTCTAATATTGCCACCTGTTGTGAAAAATACTTTATAACCATATATTACATCCAGTGAATCAAGAATGGTCTGATATAAAGCAAATAAAATGTGGGTCAAAGTGAGTTAAGAATAGTTTGTTTTTTCTTTAATTACTTCTTGAACAAATTTTTTAGAGAAATAATTGAGAAACATGGGGATACAGTGGTAACCATGCATACATCTCCTACTTACATTCTTATGCTCTTTCTCCCCCTTGCTTCTTCCAAGGGGGAGAAAGAGCATAAGCCACCAGGCAAATAAATGAACAAAAAAATGTCTGACAATTAGTAAAATGAAGAAAATAAAATGTTATATGGCTCAGAGGAGAAATACTTACATGAAGTAGGGTGAGAAGAACACAGGATAAGCCACCCACCAAGAGTAGAAGATAGAATGTGGATATAAAAGAATACTGAATACCTAAGATCATGTGTGAATTTGTCATATTCTAGCAACAGAAAGGCTGCTAATTTAACTAGAATTCAGTAAGCAGAAGAAAACTGGTGAAAAATAAACTTAGAGAAGTGGAGTTGGGGAGGCAAATTACAGACCCATGATAAGCCATTGTTAAGTTTGGATTACAGTCTAGGGGAAGGAGGTTAGCGGTGACTGAAATGTTTTAAGCAGCAGAGTGATATTATCTGGTTTTGTCATAAATCCCTCAGATACTGGAAAATAGAGGGAGGAGTTAAAAACTTGGAGGTTAGCTTTGAAACTTTCTAGGCAAGAGCTGGTGGTCATTTATACCAAAGAGCAGTTGGCAGTGGAGAAACTTGAATGAATCTGGAGTATGTTTTGGAGATAGCATCAACAGAATATGCTGATGGATTGCAGGTGGGTAGTGAGTGAAAGAAAGGAATAAATTCTATTGCTGGGATTTTAGAAACTGAGTGGATTTTAGTGATATTTACTAAGGTGGCCAAAACTAGGAACAAATTAAATATAAATAATAAAGGTTTAATAAAGGTGTTAGTTGTGTTGGTTCTTGTTTAGCCATATTGGGCTGTGATGTTTCTTAGTTATGTGAATATAAATGCATAGTTGGAAATTGGATGTGGAAATCTATAGTTCAGTAGAGATGTTATGGTTGGAGACACACATTAGAAATCATTATCACCATATTTTTGAATTTAGGAATAGGAGAGAGTGTCATAGAGAAAAGTGGAGGGCTTAGAACAGAGCCTACAGAATTTCATTATTAAGATTGGTAACCAAAGACAAATAAAATTATAATTCGGTTACACTGGACTTAGCAAGATGGGAGAACTTTTTTTTTTTTTTTAGGCTGTCTCAACTTGCTACTTCATGCCATGTTCTGTGCAGGTGACTTATGGTTTTCACTGACTTATGGTTTTCACTCCATAAAATAACAGTTCTTTCTCCATCATTTCTGGATGTATAAAACTCCATTAGCACTCTAATAGTATATAAATTCCAACCAGTTCCTTAGTTTGTCAAGCAGTAAGCATTTCATAGAAGAATTTCATTTCCTTCTAATTCCTTCCAAAATCTAAAATCCACATACTACTTCTTTAATAGGAAAAAAAAATGACATAAGGGTTTTAGTTTTCTCTGAACTATGTATTTTCGGAAGAGATAAAACAAATTCACAATGTATATGCAGCATCATATTTTTCTATTTACTTTCTTTTATTCTAATTTTTGCAAGTTCTACCTGCACATGGAAAACTGCAATGACCTTTTAATTAAGATGATGGACTCTTAGGTCTCTTTAGTGTTATCCATCCCTACAGCAGTTGCAGGTAAAGCAACAATGTACATTTAACACTAGTAAAACAAACAAGGCAAATGTAAAGGAAATCATTAGAATCTCTTCAATTCTAAATAAAATAAGACTATGTAGATAGACACCATTTGAAACAAACTTCACAGGCAATGTTCTGCTCCAGGGCATACTTTCATAAGATTAGCCTGGGTAAATCTCCTTCCATTTCAATTAATAAAACTGTAAATTCAGGATCTGTGTTGCAACAAAGTTATAGTTTGGATTTATGCAATATTGGACTATGTTAAGGCAAAATAAAACTGTAAATAAAACATGTTCTCTAGAAGACATTATTGGGGTTGGTACAAAATTGGATTTTATGCTCTTTAACTTTGGGGAGATAGTTTAACAAAATGCATTTTCCTCCATTTTCATTATTTTTACATCTAAAATATTTCTCCAACATTGAAATCATTTTAATGTAGCCTGTAGAAATCTTACTGATGTTTTTCCTTTGGCTTGTCTCTTTTTTGAGATAATTAGTAATTTGCTAATATATTCTAGACATTAGAGCTTTGCATAATTTCTGAATGTTTAATCTACTTGTCCTCCAAAAATTAGCAAATTTTTTTCATTTAATTTTGCCATTATTTTCTTTTTTTACATCAAAACTTTTTCCTTGTACATTACAATTGTATTCTTTGGATAACTTTGGTTAGACTGTGAAGGGCTAATATAAAATTTACCTTGTACTCTCTTTACAGGAACAAAATATATTGAGAACTGAATGGCTAAAAGAAGATTTCAAGGAGAATGTTTACCTACAAAGAAGACAAATGGTTTTAAAACATATTTCAAATTCCCCCTGAAAATTCCTGTTTAAAAGAAGGTAGGAACCAATTATCTTTAACCAGTGCTTTCAACTGGAGTTATCTACAGCGAAAATCTGTCCCTTTTTGTCTTTTACTCCCAATTATAATCCATAGAACAATAAACTTGATGTAAACACTGAGTGTGGTTCTATGCAATGAAGAAAAAAAATTGAATAGAAGAGATGTGAGGAGAGAGCTGTGCTTCAAAAAAATTTAGCCCTAAGAAATATTAAGAAAAGTGTTCTCCATTTTTGCTACAAACTTCTACCTTTTTACTGAATTCAGTACTTTTCTTACAACATTTACTCTTTTTTTTTTCCTTTTCCCATGGAGGTCAGTCTCTCTTTGCAATTCCAAAGCGATAAGATAAGGGGAAGAATTTGATATGTTCTTTAGTTTTTAATACCACCCTTAGAAGTAAGGGGATTAAAGCAAGTCTGTGAGAGCATGAACCTGGTCTCAGAAGTTGGATACTTGGGGAAAGTGTTTGTAGAGAGGGAGAATGATTAATGAACAAGTTTCTAGGGGAGATAAGAAAGGATATTTTGAGGGACAGTGATCTTAAAAAATATATCTGGTATAAACTCTTTCTTCCTTTGCCTCCCATCTATATAAGTTTTATCCTGAAAAATTTTCAGTTAGATATAAGGAGAAACTTAGAGGACAATTAAAAAAAACCCTAGAAGAAGTAGAAGATTTTAATACTTATACACATTTTTGGGGAGATATTGGGGATTGAACTCAGGTGCACTCAACCACTGAGCCGCATCCCCAGCCCTATTTTGTATTTTATTTAGAGACAGGGTCTCACTGAGTTGCTTAGTGCCTTGCTTTTGCTGAGGCTGGCTTTGAACTCATGATCCTCCTGCTTCAGCCTCCTGAGTCAATGGGTTACAGGCATGGGCCACCACGCCCAGCTGTTATACGCATTTTAGGTGACAAGTTGCAAGCTACCTTGTAGGATGGGCTACCAAGAGGTGGAGCTAAATTGGTTAATTTTATGATATAGAATCCTGAATTCCATGAATAGAAACCATGAGAAAACTTCTGTAATATAGACAAGAAAAAATACAGGCAATTTATGAAATCAGTGTACTTCTTGAGTCATTACTGATGCTTTTCACAGTTCCATTTTTTTTTTTATTTCTAAACATCCTGACAGCAAAGGAAATGATGATTTTTGCAAATTTGGTATCCCTTTCTTAAGATTCTGGATCAGCTAGGGAAAGCACTCTTGAACCAACAAAACCTAAAACAAATGAAACACCACTTATGAAGAAGCATTTAAGAAAATCACAAGGATGACAAGCAATTTTTCCCACTCACCTACGATTTTCATATGTACGTGTTGTGGTTATAAATATATTCTTATTGAGATTCATACTTGGGGCTGGGAATATAGCTCAGTGGCAGAGCATGCTCAAGGCCGGCATGCTCAAGGCCCTGGGTTTGATCCCCAACACCACACACACACACACACACACACACACACACACACAAGTTCAACCTGAGATTCATGGTTCATATTTGCATGACCTATTTATCCAGAGTCCTAGAACATTATAATAAAATATGAAAATTCAACATCACTCTCAATTTTGTGATACAATTCAGTTAAGAAAAGAAAATAAAGAAATTATTTTCATCAGCTTTCACTTGTTAGTAAATGCTGTGATAAAAATGTAAAACAACAACAATTATTGCATTAAGAGGCATTATATTAAGGAAAGAAAAGAGATTTGGAGCTTTAAGCATAACTTAGTTTGAAAATCAACACTACCACCTGCCAGTTTTTTAAAATTCCAGGCTGTGTTCCTCATCTTTAAAAAGGAAAAGTTGTAAAGATTAAAGAAAATAAAGAACATAAAACACTCACCCTGCCTGGCACAAAATGAAGTCCTCAGTAATTTTATATTTTCTTTCTCGTCACTCTATTTTTAAGTATTTTCTTTTAAGTAATTGGAATCATCCAATTGGGATATTTTAACTGATTTGTTAGAGAATTTTTTGAATATCACTCCATAGTTGCAAAATATAGTAAGGCTTTTAAAATAAATATTTGTCAAGAAAATAGGAGAATATACTTTGGCCAAAAGTTAGACAAAATTATTATAAGTATACTTTTTCTGAAATATGTTTCTGCTCCACTCTGGACTTTTCCTATTTGACAAAGATGGATGAGTATTATTCTCATATTATGCTTTCTGATTTTAATAGACAGATTTATATGTACACACATAATATACTGAACTTATCTCAGTATATTATTCCTATAGTATTTTTTATAAAGTCAGGACTATCCAAACTATGATAACACTGTATACATTTGTCACTTCTACTATATATAGTATCTTCAACAATATCTGATAGCAATTTGTTGTTATCTTTATCACTGAACTTACTATATAGAAATTTAGGTCATTTTTATTTTATTTTATTTTATTTTTAAAGAGAGAGGTGAGAGAGAATTTTTTTTTTTAATTTTTTATTGTAGGTTGTTCAAAACATTACAAATTTCTTGACATATCATATTCCACACTTTGATTCAAATGGGTTATGAACTCCCACCTTCACCCCATACACAGATTGCAGATTCACATCAGTTACACATCCATTGATTTACAAATTGCCATACTAGTGTCTGTTGTGCTCCGTTGCCTTTCCCATCATCCACCCTCCCCCCTCCCCACCTCTCCCCTCCCCTCCCCTCCTCTCTCTCTACCCCCTCCACTGTATAACCCTGAGGGTCTCCTTCCATTACAGTGCAATTTCCCTTCTCTCTCCCTTTCCCTCCCACCTCTCATCCCTGTTAAATGTTAATCTTCTTCTCCTGTTCTTCGTCCTTACTCTGTTCTTAGTTACTTTCCTTATATCAAAGAAGACATTTGGCATTTGTTTTTTAGGGATTGGCTAGCTTCACTTAGCATAATCTGCTCTAATGCCATCCATTTCCCTGTAAATTCTATGATTTTGTCATTTTTTAATGCAGAGTAATACTCCATTGTGTATAAATGCCACATTTTTTTTATCCATTCGTCTATTGAAGGGCATCTAGGTTGGTTCCACAGTCTTGCTATTGTGAACTGTGCTGCTATGAACATCGATGTAGCAGTGTCCCTGTAGCATGCTCTTTTTAGGTCTTTAGGGAATAGACCAAGAAGGGGAATAGCTGGGTCAAATGGTGGCTCCATTCCCAGCTTTCCAAGAAATCTCCATACTGCTTTCCAAATTGGCTGCACCAATCTGCAGTCCCACCAGCAATGTACAAGTGTACCCTTTTCCCCACATCCTCACCAGCACTTGTTGTTGTTTGACTTCCTAATGGCTGCCAATCTTACTGGAGTGAGATGGTATCTTAGGGTGGTTTTGATTTGCATTTCTCTGACAGCTAGAGATGTTGAGCATTTTTTTATGTACTTGTTGATTGACTGTATGTCCTCCTCTGAGAAGTGTCTGTTCAGGTCCTTGGCCCATTTGTTGATTGGGTTGTTTGTTCTCTTATTGTCTAATTTTTTGAGTTCTTTGTATACTCTGGATATTAGGGCTCTATCTGAAGTGTGAGGAGTAAAGATTTGTTCCCAGGATGTAGGCTCCCTATTTACCTCTCTTATTGTTTCTTTTGCTGAGAAAAAACTTTTTAGTTTGAGTAAGTCCCATTTGTTGATTCTAGTTATTAACTTTTGTGCTATGGGTGTCCTATTGAGGAATTTGGAGCCCGACCCCACCGAATGTAGATGGTAGCCAACTTTTTCTTCTATCAGATGGCGCGTCTCTGATTTGATATCAAGCTCCTTGATCCATTTTGAATTCACTTTTGTGCATGGCGAGAGAAAGGGATTCAGTTTCATTTTGTTGCATATGGATTTCCAGTTTTCCCAGCACCATTTGTTGAAGATGCTATCCTTCCTCCATTGCATGCTTTTAGCCCCTTTATCAAATATAAGATAGTTGTAGTTTTGTGGATTGGTTTCTGTGTCCTCTATTCTGTACCATTGGTCCACCCGCCTGTTTTGGTACCAGTACCATGCTGTTTTTGTTACTATTGCTCTGTAGTATAGTTTAAAGTCTGGTATCGCTATACCGCCTGATTCACACTTCTTGCTTAGCATTGTTTTTGCTATTCTGGGTCTTTTATTTTTCCATATGAATTTCATGATTGCTTTCTCTATTTCTACAAGAAATGCCATTGGGATTTTGATTGGCATTGCATTAAACCTATAGAGAACTTTTGGTAATATCGCCATTTTGATGATGTTAGTTCTGCCTATCCATGAACAGGGTATCTTTTTCCATCTTCTAAGATCTTCTTCTATTTCTCTCTTTAGGGTTCTGTAGTTTTCATTGTATAAGTCTTTCACCTCTTTTGTTAGGTTGATTCCCAAGTATTTTATTTTTTTTGAAGATATTTTGAATGGAGTGGTTGTCCTCATTTCCATTTCAGAGGATTTGTCGCTGATATACAGGAATGCCTTTGATTTATGCGTGTTGATTTTAAATCCTGCCACTTTGCTGAATTCATTTATTAGCTCTAATAGTTTCTTTGTAGAGCCTTTTGGGTCTGCTAGATATAGAATCATATCATCTGCAAATAGTGATAATTTAATTTCTTCTTTTCCTATTTTTATGCCTTTAATTTCTTTCGTCTGTCTAATTGCTCTGGCCAGTGTTTCGAGAACTATGTTGAACAGAAGTGGAGAGAGAGGGCATCCCTGTCTTGTTCCAGATTTTAGAGGGAATGCCTTCAATTTTTCTCCATTCAGAATGATGCTAGCCTGAGGCTTAGCATAGATTGCTTTTACAATATTGAGGTATGTTCCTGTTATCCCTAGTTTTTCTAGAGTTTTGAACATAAAGGGATGCTGTACTTTGTCGAATGCTTTTTCCGCATCTATCGAGATGATCATATGGTTCTTATTTTTAAGTCTATTGATGTGGTGAATAACATTTATTGATTTCCGTATATTGAACCAGCCTTGCATCCCAGGGATGAATCGTACTTGATCATGGTGTACAATTTTTTTGATATGTTTTTGTATCCGATTCGCCAGAATTTTATTGAGGATATTTGCATCTAGGTTCATTAGAGATATTGGTCTGTAGTTTTCTTTCTTTGAAGTGTCTTTGTCTGGTTTAGGT